GCTTTAGCTGCTGACAAACAGTACTCAGGCTGGAGGAGCGGTAAAATGTCAGTGCTGCTTAGAATAAGAAATTCTCAGGATGCTCTGCATGCTGTCGGCTGGGTACTGTTCCCTTAGAAATTCACTGCTAATTTTGACGGCAGCAGAAGCGGAGCCTTTTGTCCGTCTAGTGCCAGTGATACGGGGGTCAACGTAAGCATGCCTACTTGGAAAGTACCCACAGGCATTCCTAAGAGAGAGACCTCCCAGAAAGGATTTCTCCTAGAAGATTTTATCAGTAAACCAGCTCCATTTTGCCTTGGTTCCAGTAAACCCTACAGGTGAACTATGAGACCTGCTCAGAAATAGTGATCATTTGTTACATGATTTGTTGAGCAACTGAGAAGCATCCCTTTTGCTGATGTTTCTGTGTGGAATGTCAATACTTGACAGGTTCATCTGTGGGGCCTTAGCAGAGCTGCTCTGTGTGCTGGAGTTTTTGAGAAAGGGCTGTCCTGGTAACTCTGTGGCATATGCAGATCCAACACTAGATGTTTGATTTTTTTAGTTTAACATTCTTGAAAATGTCTTCCATGTTTACTTCCCGGCCATGCTCAGTAAATTTAGAGGTATTCCTTAATGTTTGCATTTGATCGTCAGTAATTCAAACTATCGTGATGTCAGTAAGTGTTGGCACGGCCTAAGGAGAGAGCTGAATAAATGAAGTCTCTCTTTTATTATCGTTTATCAGAAATGTGTTTTTTTTCAGGCCTTTCCAGCACCCACTGTGCTTTTAAAAAAACTTCAAAAATGTTTCTCATGCTCTCTAGGCATACAAAAGGGTTTTTTAAGCAACATTGTGTCATATTTTGTACTAAGGTCAACTAAAGGACTGAAGAACCTCTTAATTTTTTTTTTTTTAAAAAAAAGACCTACCCACAGAAAAAGCCCAAGTAATTGGGAAGGCCTTATATCATTCCTTGAAGGTCAGTGAGCTCCGACTGGCTGGAGAAGGGAGTTTCAGCCACAGAACTGATGTTGAGAACATTGTCTTATCTCGAGTCTTCTGGAGTCAGTGCAGGGTTTTGACGAACCTTCAGAGATGGAAGGAGTTTTGCTCTTCCCATTATGGATTGAGGTTTCCATTTTCTTGCTTCCATCGCACTCTCTACACATCCAAAGTAATTACTTTCTGTTAACAAAACAGAGTTACGCAGCCTGGCTAGCTGGGGAGGTTGGCTTAAAGACCCCTCCCCATTTAAATACCCCTTTTAAAGTGTATTATTCTCTGAGCTGTCTCCCACTCTATTCCTGTCACTTAAATAGAGGCAGTACAAGCACCTCAGTAGATCTTGGTGACAGGATTTTAGCAGCTCAAAACCAGCACTTAAGCGGTACTTAAGAAAAAAACCCCGAGTGCTAAGGAGACTACACAGAGTTGCTGTGCTGCATGCTGTTCACTTTATTAGCACAGAAGGCCTCTTTGGGGTCTGCAGGACAGACCTCACTGGTTCTTAGTAGACTGTTATGGTTTGTGGGATGGAAACCACAATTTTCACTGGCTGAAGCTTTAGAGAAGTCTTCGAAACTGTACTTGGACAGGGTGGCATCAGGCCAAGTAAGCTAACTGTATGGGTCAACATCCTGCATATCATCATTTGATTAGCAAAGGATTTCTGATTACTGAAACTCTTATTTGATCTGGCTGTGAGTTTTTCTGTCACGTGCTGCTTTTTGTTAGAAAATGCTGATTTACCACCACAGAAAGATTTTTTTTTTTTTTGAACATACCAGTTTTGATCAAAATTTTGTTAAGAAATTTGCCTCAGCTGCAAGATAGACTTTCTGATAAGGGAAATTATGCACTTCTCCACAATAGCAAATTGTCTCCTTTGCCAGCAAACACTAAAACCCAGAATGGATCAAAAGTCAAGTCCTTACATTGTGCTGGCTAAAGGTCTAAGTCTGTGTCTCCAATTGCCCAACCCACCAGGTTGTTTCACATTTTTACATGGTGCTTTCTGCAATGTTTCTTTTTAAGATGCCCTCTCTCCTAATTCAATAAGTGATCAAATTTTTGTTGGGTTTACAAAGAGTTACTAATTCAGTAGCTTTGGCGCTCACTTAGTATATATACAGCAGACCAAAGGTTGAGGCCCTGCTCTGAGGAACCTTTCTTCATACAAATGAAACATCTCCAATGGTGGGGATCCCCAGCCTGCAGCAGTAAGTAGGCAGTTGGTACTTTTACCTTCATTGTGAGACCACAGCCTCAAACCTACATATCTTGTGTTTGAGTCACTGCCTTTTCTCCCCCATCAATGAGTTGCTAAATACTTTGCATGACTACAACTCTTCCTTTTTTTTTTTTTTTTTAAATGAATCTGAAATGTCGAAAGGGCTAGCATTCACTCTAATGGGTGTGACATTACCTGGCCAGCAAGGAAATTGTTGGGATTGAATAATTCTGAAGACTGGTGGGCAAGACATGCTCCCCACCATCACCCACCACAACACACACACTGGTTTTGGTGGGAACTTGAGGCTGTAGCCAGTCTGTGGAGGGTGCAACCAATTCTCTTAATTTCAACAACCAAGCAAAAAGTTACTAGTTTTGCCAATTCTTTAACGTAATTACCGCTGCCAGCCAGCATCACTTCCATCTGTATTTAGTCTGAAAATCAGCCAGTTGGTTTTTGTCCAGTTTCCCATCTCTGCCAGACATTGAGAAATCGGGGAAGCGGTTCATGTCCTCTGAGAAGGAGGCCTACAGCGAAGCAGCCTAGAGTAGAGGCTCAGTGTCTTTTCACTGCTCCACAGGCACGTTTGAGCAAGGACAATTAAAAACCTGACATACCACACTTGAGAGTTTTCAAGGAGGAGCAACACCTACCTCAAAATACCAGCCTTTACATAATGAAGTCAGGGAGAGGGTCGTTTTAATGAAATTCTTTTAATGAAGCAGTGCTGAGATCTCATCTCCTGCTGATCTTGTCCCAGTTGATCCTAGTGCTGTAGGATCAATAGTGTCAGCATGCTGTTAGGCATCACTGGGCCACATACTGCTGTCCTATCCCGATTTGAAGCACGACTGGCTGTGAGCCAAAACCAGAGAAATACTTCATGTTCAGGATTTCATTTGGCTTGGTGGCTTTTCTCAGGAAATGTTGCGGAAGGACAGATAAATAGGGGTGCTGGAGGTATAACAAAGTACCTGGTTAGACGGCCAAAGGAGGAGATATGTTGCATGTGTGTGTTTCAAGTTTGTGGTCTTAGATGTTCATAGGGAAGATAATTCAGAAGAGTAAAAAAAATTTATACTAATACCGTCATTATTTTATAGGCACGCTGCTGGGTGCCGGAGGGACGGGTCTAACTCTGGACTCCTGGAACTGGCAATCCCCACATTGCTTGATACCCATGTGATGATATTCTTTCTTGTCCTAAATTAAATGCAGATGGTTTTAGATGTCATTCTACTCACAGGTCACCTCGAGACTTGCTTGATATGTGAGGCTCTGCTTCCTGATTTAGTTTTGTCTGGCCACCAAAGTTAGTTCATGTCTTAACATTTCGTACTTCTAAAGAGCAATAATGTTTCTCACCAAATCAGAACAACGGGCTCTTGTCTCTTTAGCAAGATAGGCTAGTTCTGTACTCATTCAAGATTCATAAAATACACTCTTCTTTTCAATGCCTTACTTTTAAGATTAATGATAATGCAAGCCTAGATAAAATTTGGAAGTGTCATCAAAGACATAGTCAGACTTTAAGTCCCAGGAGGAACTTTGGCCTTTTATCGTTTAGGCGATTGTGGCCAAAGGGAAGGATAGTATATAAGGATTTTTTTGTTTGCCTTTTTTTTTTTTGGTTCCTTTTTTCATGCTTTAAAAGAAAATGTTGCTTTTGATCTCTGGTACTTTATTTATTCCTGATACAGGCAGGTCTGAAGCTGGAACCTAGTAGAAGTTGCACCCATTTTCGCCAGGATGAATAGAGTCAATAGCTATTTTTTTGTTCCGTTTGAGCACAAAACAGTTCTAGTTGGCAGTCTGGCCCAGTGGTTTTGATTCTACTAATCTCAGATAAGTCTGGATTTGGAACTTAATGATGAGAATTTCAGTGTTAGTTGTTGTTGGCTGATTCACTGCAGAGCATTTGTCTGTTTTGTAAAATATTTGAGCATTTTACTTTGAGACCTGACGTATATGCTGGTTTTGTACCTTACAGTTATATTCATGTGGGATGGGATTATGTTGGTTTTGTTAATTGAGAGAAACCTATATTCTCCTATATTTCTGTATGTCCATGTATATTTTGTACTGTTACAAAGGACCCTTATACTGATGTACCACTATTAAACTAGTTTAATCTTACCAGTATGTTAAAGCAGTATATTCTTGTCTATATTTAAAACCATATCCTTGAAGGCTTAGTCTGAATAGTGGAAACCCTTGCAAGCTCCGTATACAGGTAGGTCCATACTCTCCTGCCCTGTAATGAGCCCCATGCACATGCCTGTACCCCTCGACTCTGGTACCCCTTGACTCTTTGTGAGAAAGAAATCTGGTGAAGGGGTCTGAAACATGAGAGAGCTGTGGCACAGTCCAGCTAGGCTCCCCAGTCTCAGGATTAGGTTATTGGAGCCTCTGATGGCCCTCTGCACCATTGAGATGTAGCCAAAGGTGTCTGACTCCCAGTTGCTTTCAGTGGAAGTCAAGATCTTAATTAGATCTGCTCCCAAATGATTTTTCCAAGATTCTGTGTGGTATATCTTGCACGATCCAACTGGAAACAGGATTCAGATACCGTGGGCTACAATTACCTGGCCCCTCTCCACTATTATTTTATTGTTTGGATGTTGTTATTGTTGTTATGCAGTCCACTACCTCATTGGAATTATTATATATTTAAAGGGACTTCAGATTGTTTTTCTTTTTAACAGCTTAATACTTCGTTCTTTTTGTACTAAGTAAATATCAGATGTTCCGTAAATATAAATTATTTTGTTGTTGTTGCAGAATTTATTCCCCAGGCTTTTGGAATGCCCTTGTCCCAAGTCATTGCTAATGACCGGGCCTACAAGCTCAAGCAAGACTCTCAGAGAGAAGAGCAAAAAGATGTTTCAGATTTTGTGGCCTTTCTCTTGCCGTTTGGAACTAAAAGGCAGAACAAGGAACTTTCAAGCAGTAACTCATCTCTTAGTTCAACCTCTGAAACACCAAACGAATCCACTTCTCCTAACACACCCGAGCCAGCGCCACGAGCAAGGAGACGCGTAAGTAGACCCATCCCAATGTGGTGCACGCCCGTAGGTCCAGAGGGTCTAGATGGAGCAGGAAAAATCCCTGTTGTGTCTCTGGATTGCAGAATATTTCCTCTGTTGTGTTCAAACAGTGATTATTTTTCAGGTGGAAGCCAGGCTGGTCAGTACCAGAAAATTCTGACTGTGGGGGGAATCTTTCTCTGGTGCTGGTGGGAAAAGATCATATGGGCTGTGCAAGTCTGTTACAGATCGCAAAGTGGCAGAGAGATTATTTAGAAGTCTTCCTGTTCACTTCCTTTATTTACCTCCGTCTGTCTAGGTCTTTTAGATTTAACAAATTCCATCCGTCTTCAACTGAATTTTTTCAGCTGGGGAAGACTGAACCTATGTGATTGTTATTTATATGTATGCTTCTGTTAATCTAACTCCACAAACTTGGAAATAAATCTAACTATTAATGCCTATCCTAATATTAATAAAAATCCCCATGGTCTAATTCTGATCGTGTCCTTGATGGGAAGTAAGAAGTTGTCAGAGTAAATTTGTACCGGGGTCTTTGAAGGACATTCTGCATACAGGCTGTGAAGATGTCTTTAGCAGCAGAACACAGTGCGGTGGTTTGGGTTCAATGTTAATCCTGCAGGGAAGATAGGTGCCTGGTAGACCTTTTGTTTGCAGGGTTCTGTTCCTTGTAAGTAAATCTTATGCTCTGAGCTTTCTGGTTTTCCAGTACTGCAGCTAGTAACAGTAGTAGTGGGGTTTGTGGGGTTTTTTTTCTGTTACCGTGGGATAGAAGTTCTAGAATTACTGCTTTTTCATTTTGTTTGCAATGGAGTGAGAAAAACTGCATAATAAAATACTTCCAATAAAAACCCCTGTTAAGTAATCTGAGAAAGAATTTGGGGTACAGGAACAGACCCTGGCAAAGAAAGTATTTTCTTAGGATCCTCACCCTCTTTCATCCTTGGATAAAACCTGCTTCAGAAAAATGTTTTGTAGGGCTATTCAAGGCAGGGTGTTAAGAGGGGTAGAACTGGAGTTAACTGCAAATTAAGAGAAGGCTGAAGAGCCCAGTGACCTGCCTTCTTTCCCTCTAGCTGTCAGCTGAAGCTTGAAGTGTCTACATTCTGTCTGCAAATAGCTGAGGGCATGATATTTGAAGATGTTTGTATTCTTATATACACATAATGCACGTCTGTAGGCCTGCCCGGACCGTATGAGCAGGCAGTTGTGTTCACACAAAAGTGCCAAGTACACTTGAATATAAGTGCGAAGGGAAACCCGCCAACTTCTTTCAGAATTTGGCATAGGCAGTGATAAAAAATAGAAATTCACTGTATACACCCATTGGCTTCAGAACCTGTTTTCATATGAGGGAAAGATAATTCACGTGTGCAGATACGGGTCGTCTGCTGTTCTTTTCACCAAGTGTGATAAGATCTCTGACATGCGGTGTACCAGCCAGCAAGCAGAAGGAACCTGGATCCTTTGTTACATCCAAGGGATGGAGCTCCATCAGGACCAAGTTCCTACGAGCCTGTTGAGGGTTTTGCTTGTTTGTTTTTTTTTTTTTTTAATACCAGGTTTGCAACTTTTAGGGTGTTGAATTTGAGCCTTTAGTCCATAGTCGTGAGGATGCAGTAGCACATGGTTCACTTATAGAGAAGTAAGAGTAGACAATGGTGGGCAGTGTCATGTGGAGGGATTTGACATTTTCTCTCGGGAATGAACCTCAGTTATTCACGAGTTGTCAATTATTTAGCATTAATATTAATTCATGTCCCCTGTCTTGCCTGTCTTTGGTCTTTCTACTTCTGCTTATCAGTGTACTTACTCTACTCCCCTGAGGTTTTGTAGGGGATGGTAAGAAAGCCCGCACTTATCTTTTATCTCTTGGGCAGTGTTGCACTGTTTATTTTCAACTATATCAAGGCAAATGCTTAAAAAAACCTGTAAAAAATAGTTCATTAGTTCATGCAACTGATACAACCAGTTTCTCACACAAATGCTGCAGACACCTGGAGTGCGGTCCTCTTAAACTTAAATTTGAAGGGATTGTTATTCGCTTCTTTGCAACTGTGTCATTCACTTTTGTGTATTCCATTGAGTCTTCAAACACTGAGCTGAGACTTTCAGTAAGGGATATAAGGTAGTGCTGGCTGCTGAGCTGATGGTATGAGTGCTGGGGTTCTCTCTCCTCCAAGAGCTAGACAGAGATCACTGTTGCTGCATTTTCTGTGTAGGATTTTTGACCAGCAGTTGGAAGTTGAGACCCTGGTCATCCAGCAAGGCACTTTCTGTGTGCTTATTATAGAGAATATTCTGACTCACTGTTAATATATTAGTTATATGTGTTATACAGCCAAAATTTATTCAAGTATCAGGAGCTCAGTCAATACGTTTTTACTGCTCAAATAGCATAATGTATGGACTGAAAATGGATCTGCCGTGGATAGTAGTTGATCCCATGCATACTCTGTAACATTGCTCATCTTTTTTAAAGAGAAAAACCTTCTAGAACCCTTAAAAAGTAAAGAAAAGCTTCATCTGACCGTCATTCCCCACCTGTCCCCCTGACTTTCATTTTCTTTTTGCTCTTTGCATCTCCTCTTTAATCTCCACTTTCCCTCATGTTTCTGTGTTGCTTAGCTTAAGACTTGCCCAGTTTGTTTAGATTTTGTTGGAGGCAGGACTGGTGTCCATTATGTGCAAAGGTAATGCCTAGTAGATGGAACTTGATTTTTCTTTGATTGCTGGGCATTGCAGTCCAAGTAGACTGTGTCTGCATTACTAGTCCTGGAGTAGCGGGCAGCAACGTGCATGATCTCCTGCATCGTTCCTCAGCAGTCGTATAGGTCTGGCTGAGCCCAGACTAGTAGGCCTGGCTGAGTTTGAGCTGGATCTGTGGAGCATGTTGGTAGTATTTTCCTGTACACTTTGAAATTTAAAATCAGAGCTGGCCTGGACTTGGTATTGCCAAGCAGTGCTGTACTTCAACCACTGCACTGAAGGTCACTCTTCCTAAAGCCAGCTCAGTGCCCCAGTTAATCCCCAACTTTGATAAAATGCCCAAGGATAATGGCAAACTGACTGTATTTATGTCTATTTTAGGCATCTGAATCCGACTTAAGTGACTTTGTGATAATAATGATTCACGAGGTGAGGATGCTCTGCAGACCAGTAAAGGCCAGGCTATAAAGGAGGGCACCTGTCGTACAGGCACAGCCTGGGAGCTGCAGCGATGAGGATGGTAGTAGGATTTTCAGTGTCAGTTGACTAATTTTGATGCCTGAAACCCCAAACTCTTAAAAACAATATAGAAAAAAATGCTTCAGTTGGAATTTTACACACGTGGATCATAGCCAGAGGTTCTTGTTTGGTTTGGGGTTTTGGTTTTGTTTCCTTTTGGCAGGAAATGGTAAAGGGAATCAAGCAAAGGTACTTCTCAGAGGCATCAGAAATCAAGGTCGAAATTGCATTCTAAAGGGTGTACTAATTGTTTAGAGATGTGGGTCCAAAAAAATTCTAAAAACTACACTGTCTTTTATTTATAAGTCTTCCATGAGTTACAAGAAACAGAACTGTACCTGATCAGTTAGATGCTTTTTTAAAAAAAGATATTATGAAGATTTTTAAATTCATTTGAAATCTCAGTGGACTTTGTATGAGTTGCCTGTGAGTTGGAAATCTTTGTAAAGTTCCGTTGTCTAGGCTGATGGAAGAAAATACTTCTAGAGCTTGGAATTCCCCAGCGGTTGTACAGTTCTCATTTAATAGATGTAGAGATCTATTACCAGAAGTCTATGAAGTCTATGAAATACTTGCCAGCTGAACAGTGTGCTTTTAAGAAATTAGAGTTGTCAACCAAGTTTTGAATGGGAATTTACATTTTCTTCATTATATTTTAGGATGACATGCTGGATCTCTTTATGTTATGGTAAAATGTATCCATAGTTTCAGAAAGAAAATAAGTTACAATAGATATTTTTAATGAGAATTAAAACCAAAATTTTTCTTTTTGTTTTATTATTATTTATAAGCCTAGATGTACTCTAAAATGTTTTTGCCTGGTAAGTTTAATAACAGTTGAGGGCAATGGTAGTTTTGAAGTGAAGGTAGTCTTGTGGTTTGAAAAAAATAGTCTTATTTTTTGAGTGTGAACATTGAAACATACCGTAAACCTCCTGCTGCTTGTGCTGCTTTATCCTTTACAGGCTGCTTGAACTTCGGTGTCTTGCTATAATTCAAATGTAGTTTTCAAAGCTTTCATTGGAATTTTAATGATTTAAAAATATTAAGATACATGAAGTAGAATTATCTAAAAAATATTACCCCTCTACCTCTCTGGTGGGTCCTTGTTCTCTGATAACATGGGATTATTTCAGTCTATCCAGTATTCGTGTTATTAGTTAACTGTATGTGATGTATGGTTGTAAATCTATTTGCATAATTTTCACTGATACAATGGCCCAAGTACGGAATCAGGTTTAAAAATGTGTACATACCTCCATGTACATAAATATTGTACTGCTGAGGTGCACAAACAGACCATGATTCATCCTTGTGCTGCAGTATGTGCAGGCTTACAGCAATAAAAAGGTGTACTGAGTGAGTGGAAAGCATTTAATTTTTTTCAATATCTAATTTGTATTCCCCGTAGTATGTTAATAATAGCATTGGTACCATTGTGATTTTCCCATCCATTACACTGATATTATAACTTCATTAATTTACAAACCCTGTGTAGCAAATTGGTTTTTTTATATTGGTTTGTTTAAAATGCAGGTAGGCGAAAGTCTTTGTTAGATAAAGTCCCGTGGGATTTAGATTTCTCCAGCCATACTGATTGTTCATATGTGTGTGTTTTACAGGGCGCGATGTCTGTGGACTCTATTACGGATCTTGATGACAATCAGTCACGATTGTTAGAGGCTCTCCAGCTCTCTCTGCCAGCAGAAGCCCAGAGCAAGAAAGAAAAGGCAAGAGATAAGAAACTAAGCCTGAACCCTATTTACAGGCAGGTTCCCCGGCTTGTAGATAGTTGCTGCCAGCACTTGGAAAAGCATGGTAAGAATATTTCGTTTTCCCAGGAGGGGCAGATATATTTTTACTGTAATATAAATAAATGCGTATTTTGAGAAGCAAGCATATGCTTCCAATTGCAAGGACATCTTTGAAAGTCAGACACTTTCCCTCCTATTTTGCCTCTTGCTAAAGATAATGTCTCAAAAATAATTACTTAGATGGTATCTTCACAAACCAAGGATCTGTGCTGCAAGCTTGCAAACTGGCCCATACGGCACAGCAGAAGAGACATTTCATGGAGGTCGTTCATCTTGTACTGGACTGCTCAGCTCTGCAGGAACGGATCTTCACACTCCACGGGTTTACCCATACCTTGAGAATGAAAGTCTGAAATACGCCAGTCAGCCTGGTGTCATTCTTCACAGCCAGTGGATCTCAAGGTGTAAAAGCTAAATTAATTGTTTATACTACAGTACAAGACTTAACTGGAAACAGCATTTGAAGATAGAGGCTCAGAGAAAAAAAAAATCCCATGCTAAATTATATTAAGCTCCGAGAAGCTTTTTCCTGTTCACTACAAGGCTTGCAGGCTGGCTACTCAGTTTGTCCCTGGCTTGAGTCCTCCTGACCAGCCTCAGGCTCAGGCCTGCTCTCTCCAAAGGGAATTACAAACTCCTGCCAGTATTCTCCTCATGTCTTCATGATCCTCGAGACACAAACCTCCCACCAGCTTTACGTAACACAGAAACAATAGTTAATCAAGGTATCTGTTCAACATCTCTCCCAATGTATCAGTTGTCTTGTAAAGGTTTTTAATGAGAATTGAAATAATTTGGCCACAGCAAGATTATCACATGGCCAGATAATAAATAAACCATTAAGTAATCGTGATTGCAACACCAAATTATGCATTTCATGCGTAATTTGACCAGAAAGAAAGAATTTACTGACTCTGAATGAAAGACTTTTGTAGATGAGGGACTGCAATTTAAACAACAATTATAAGCTTTTGCAGTATAGAATTGAAAACCATGTTGCTTACAAATACATAGAGAAAAAAACTGAGAGTCATTGCTAGCCTTTACAGAAATTAGATACCATGGCTGACAAATAAGTGTGGGGATGATTACATTTGAGATTAATGACTTCTGTCCCTTTAAGCAAGGGTAGCTGAGTTTGGAGAACATAAAAGTGTCTGAGTCAACCAAAAAAGCCATCCAGCTGAGTATCCTCGGGATACTGTGGTTTTATGTCACTTGATCATCTGTGATAAATTTTTTAATCCACTTAACCTACCAGCATAACAAAGATTCTTTTTTGATACAGTATTCCTGACTAAAATATTTACTTTACATTAAAGTTCCCTTTTAAAGAAAATTTATGATGGATTTTTGTGCATTTTCTAGGAGTGCACTGTAGTACCCCACAACACAATAATCTGAGATAATTTGGGGGAAATAGTGATGTTCCTCAATTTTCAATTTAATCCGCCATCCACAAAACAGTCATCAGGATTGGTTGACTTAGAGAAAATTAAAAATTGCAGAAGATGGACACTACTGTTTGCTCATTGGCTTTAGGCATTGTAGAGGACTTTCTATTCTCGCAACAATCCTATAGCAACATCATTCCAGGCTATATGATGGACCGGCCTTCGGATTCTGAAAATACTTGCCTGTATGCCTGAGTCCTTTAGGCAAATTTTTCAGCAGCAAATCACCTAGAGATTTCTGACCAATGCTTTAAATGATCATTTTGAACATTATATGACAAAAAATGATTATGTTTTTAGCCATAACCCCCCTGGCCTTTCTTACCTTCGCTGTTTTCCCTGGGATCATGTCCCAGAGTTGTAAAGGCTTGACTTCCTGCAGACCTGCAGTGTAAAATAGATACTGTATTGTATATTTGTGCAGGGACTGGTAACCAGCCTCCAGTTTTTGCCCAATATGAGTATCTTCTTCTCAGATGATCCCTGCCAATGTTCCTGGCTTTACTAAATGTTATTCCATCAATGTAATTTTCTGTTAAGCAAAGATAGAAGAATATTTGAAGAGAGGTGTCATGTTGAGACTAAAAACTGAAAGGCAGAATCCTGTCTGAATTTCTCTGATGAAAATCTGCAACTCCAAACACCACTGTGAAGCTACTCATCTCCAGCAAGCGTCGCCTCATGGCTATCAAAAGGCATTTGTTTTGCAAGGTTATTTTACACCTCCTGTATGTCAGTAAAGAAAATTAATGTTGCAGAGTAGTCTTTGTTAGACCATAAACATTTCAAAGCTTATGGATAATTTAATCCCTTTTTGCAAAAAATGTCTGTGTAAAGTGATATTATGCACACAGTTGCTTAAGTCTCTAAGATTACCACTCACATTCTCACTGCTAAAGACCATGTCACCTCTAAGGTGATGTTTACCCTCAAATTTTTCAGTTTCTGTTACTCAGCAAAGTATGTCCATTCAACAACCACATTACTGTTTGATATTCTGGTAGTATCTACAGGGCTAGAAGAAAGTTTGAACTGATTTCTTACAAAATAGCAGGCAACACCCATTTCCAAATCACCATAAGTCTAAATGACACAAGAGGCATATCTTCTGTAGTTTGCCAGAAGTACAACAGTACTTCTTTATAGCTTTCCCTCTATATAATAGCTCTTCCTACCCTACAAACTGCACACAACTCCCAGGTAGAGTTCTTCCCTCTTGTAATCTGCCTCAGTGCCCTACTTATATCCCTTTGAAGGAAGCTCTTAGCTTTATCTTGACAGGCAGTATAGAGCCAGCGGGTAACCCCAAACACCTGACTCCTTCCTCTATCTAAAGACACAGCTCAGTGCCCAACTATTTAGTTATTGCCTGTTTCCTTTGATGTCAGTCTTGGAAATGCCACCTCCGAACACTGAGCAGTGCCTCACTCTCTCCATACCTCTGTCTGTCATGAAGTAGCAGTGGCAGTACCAAAATGACATCACAAGAAATGTCACGGAGGTGCCATTTTGCAGGTTAGGTGATGTGAGGTCCTTAAAAACAGCAGTGGATGGCTTCTTATTCCAAGACAACTGAGTTTTGCCTCAGCATGGTAAGTACAAGTTTGCAGAGAAACGCATTGTGGGTTTTTTATTATTTTAAGTACACATATAGCCCGGATTGCTTTGGTTCAATGCAATTTTCAGCAGAAAATTAAACAATAAAACAGTTGTCTGATGTGCTGTACTTGCAGGTCTCCAGACAGTAGGAATATTCAGAGTTGGAAGCTCAAAAAAGAGAGTAAGACAGGTGAGTGGATATGGCTACACTTTTCCCTCATCAGCTATGATACAAACAAACCTGATTCCTTTTTGTTAAGTGATTTCTTCCCCATCCATCACCTGGTGAAATTCAGGCTTTCTGGGTCAGTGACTTTATTGGTTTTTTGGTGGCTCATAACAGGCCATTTCCAGTCATCTTTTACATCTGGTGAAATCCTTGTCAAGTTCTCAGCAGGTTAACAGTCTGTATGTTTTGCTCTGCAGAAGTAGCACAGGGTTAGAGATCCAAATAGACTACAGTGATGAAATTTTCCAAAGGTTACACTGTA